AGTTCCCTAAGCGCTGAACTTGTGCTGGTTTTTTGGTGGCTGATCTCCTTCAACTGGAGGACTAGCTTGTTGGTATTGTCCACTGTGGTGGCGATTTCAGTTTCTTGGGGGCTGCGAGAACCTTCTTTGGCTATGGCGAGATACTTCTTGTAGATAGACTTGTCTCTACGGTGACTAATTTGATGTTTGGTTAGCCCTGTTGCCGCCATCATACCTTGCAAGAAATAGTTCTGGTCCGGAACCAGATTGGCTTCGATGTTGGCAAGCTTGGGAAAGCTTCTGAATGCGGTGCACTTTCTGCCAACTCCCTGATGTACTCAATAGGATGGGCTTTCTTGGTGTGCAGTCTTGTAGCAGGATATGATTGGAATTTCCTGTCAGAAAAGCTACACTTATTCCAATCGGTCATGTCTGGGAGGGGGGCTGTTTATGTTTAGGGGGAATCTGCGCACCTTCTGTGATGATTTTGCAGGTCATTGAAGGTAGTGAACTGCTAACCACAAGGATAGTCGCTGAACGGTCGGTATGGTCTGTTTCGCGATGATGTGGTTGCGGATAACGAACACCTAGAATGGGTCTTGGGGGCCAACGGGGAGCAATTTACCGTAATCGCATCTGCAGAAGCTGAGCACTGCTCTCAGTGATCGTACCGCGTGTAGTAACATGCTGTGGACGATCCGCGGGGTTGATGCAGTTGGCAGATTGGCTATCCATGCCAACAGATGGCATAGAGCTCTGATGAAATGGTAACGACCTGGAGGGTAAAGAAATTGAAGAGAGGAGCGGACAAGCTATTGTACCTGCCTGAGGGTTACAATGTCTAAAGAAGGATGAACTCACCAGCCACGGACAAGAGACAAGTGCTGTTACCCATGTATACTAAGTGACATATAAATCCGAACACCCAGTTTAAATGGTTTTATTTTAATAAAATTTTGTATAAGTACTTAATGAAGCATAATAAGTAAATGATAAAAATTTCAAAATGATTGCACTGCTTTAAAGCCCTTTGACCTTTAATAATGTGTGGACGCACCCTGATGTGCTACCCATTCTCCAACGCGCCTAGGCATGCTTCTGATCAGGTGGTCAATGTCCTCCTGTGGAATCTCATTCCAGGCAACCACCAACTCCTCTCGAAGTGCTTCTAGAGTCTGAGGAGGACGTTGCAAATTGAGCAATCTCCTACCCATCATATCCCACATCAATTGGGGATAAGTCGGGAAATCTTGGTGGCCATGGTAACAATGTGACATCATTATGTTGAAAGAAGTCTATTGTGACTCTTGCAACATGTGGTCGGGCATTATCTTGTTGGAAAGTTGGATCTGCCAGGGTGTCAAGATAGGGTAAAAGATGGGGTTATAGAACTTTGTGGATATAACGCTGCGCGTTCATGTTACCTCTGATGAAGATTAAAGGTGACCTGGAACCATACGCTATAGCACCTCAAACCATAACTCCAACAGTGTGATGAACATGTCTTTCAACAAAAAACTGTGGATTCCTCCTTTCACCATGTCGCCTTCTAACCCTGGCACGACCATCGTGCACGCCTAAACAAAATCGAGACTCGTCACTAAAGACAATACTGTTCCATTCCTGATCCCAGAGTGACCGTTGTCTGCACCACTCAAGGCGATTGCGTCGGTGTTCTCGAGTTAAAGGGAGGACCCAGTGTGGCCGGTATGAAAACAAGCCAAAACTTCTCATTCGTCGGTAAACACTTCGCATGCCAACAGGTCTTCCGTCTTCTGGAAACGATTCATTTGCAATGGACTTGGTAGTGGAGAAACGGCCAATAATCTTAGGCGGCGACCTTCACGGTCTGTTGTTCTACGGCGGCGTCCAGTGCCACTTGCTCTTTGCGTACGGTCTTCTCGAAGCCATGCCTGACAACACCTAACCACAGTGTCTACACTTCTTTGCACACTAACTGCAATTGCCCGAAAAGAAAGTCCAGCTTCCCGAAGTCCCACTATACGGCCCCTATCAAACTCACTAAGTTGACGAAATCGTACAGGTCTCCGTACTCTAGGCATCGTAACCGATCGTAAAGGATGTCAAGAACCAAAATCCGCCAACGTTGATTCTTTACTGCGGCTGAAATATTCATTTTTAGAGCGTTAGTGAATTCAAAAAAAGCAGTATAAAAACCGGAATGTCCAACTGATAAGGCTGAAAATTTTTTCACTTGTCATTTACAGTAAGATAAATACATTCACCAACTTTTATTAAAATAAAACCATTTAAACTGGGTGTTCGGATTTATATGTCACTTAGTATATATACGTACGATTATCATGATGCGTGTTCGTATATGTGTGTTATTGTAAAGATGATTCTAAATTGTGGAGAGCCGCGTTCAGATATAATTAAGGTAATAAGGTAATCGACACCCGAGCCATAGAAAGTCAATGTAGGATTGGCACGTACCTGGGTTTTCCTGTCGCCTAGTCTGGAGGAGCTCCTCTCTCTTCACAGCTTCCTCTTAGGCTCACCACACTTGCCTTAGCGGATATATTGTACCCGGTTTAACTAAGATTCTTTTGCCGAGGTTTTGAAGACGACCGTTAGCTTTTTAGATCTTTGCAAATTGACTTCACACGAAATCTTCTTCTTCTTGTGCGCATGTTTGACTTGTTTGCGCACGTGCCAAAGGGTTGGAATTGTATGGCTTTTGAGTTCAAAATAATAAAGTATGTTTTAGAACTTGCATGAATAATGTGTGATACAAGATTTTTATGTCCTTCGACAACGTTTCTCAACGTCTGAGTGATCTCACTATATTAAAATGCAGTATTTGCCTTATAACTTTATCTTAGACTGACTCCAATACCCCACTAACTGGTCTTCTCATCTATCTATCTATCTATCTATCTAAGTAAAACAGACCATGCATTTATTTAGATAGCGAAATATCTGTCATAGGCACGTGCGCCGTATACGCTAACAAAAGAAACCCAATTGAAGGCGATTATGTTCCGCTTTACGTGTTTCTGCTTCGTGTCTCGAGGGAGAAGGGGGTGTCCTGGAAGTCCCGGCACAGAATACTTGACGAGTTTCGTTTGTTTCCATCGGCGCGGCCCGGCGCCTGCTTTGATATGAGCAAAGTTCGAGGTTGTCAACATAACTTCACTTCCGAGAATTTCGGGGAACAGAAGGAAGGAAGTTGCTTGATTGTCGTTTAATATCAAAGGAGCATCAGTGTTGGCGCCCTTGCTACTCCTTGTTCTCTGGATGATCTTCCCTATTTTTATTGGCTGGGCGTTTACTACTTAGTACGATGCAATTTTGATAAAATTGGGCTCTAGTTGTTGTAATCTTTTATGACACTATGGATCAAAAAATTGCGTCAATATTTTTGAAGTAGACACTATATTAAAAAAACACAAAAAGTCACTATACACATAGGTTTTAGAATATCCCCTTGTTGACATACAAGGTATTGAAAATATCTAACGTCTCTGATTCTGAGTAAAATATCGAATTTCGGCAAAAGGCGTTCTGGTGAGATAATAACATACAAAGGGTACTAAAAGTTTTGCAATACAGTTTTATTTATTGACTTCGTTCAAAGTAATTTCCACCAGTAATGTTTTCCTGTGTTACTGACATTCCTTCCCTCTCAGCGTCCTCCTGAGTGAAATTGCCCCTTTGGAATTCTCTGTACGACCTGAATATAGTCGGACGGTGAGAACAATCATTCTTTAATGCAAGCGTCATTTCTTCTAAGAACTGGTCTATGCTTAAACCACGCGTAAAGTTATATCGTAAAACTGCCCTTATCTACTACGTGACCACGATACCATAGTGTGCACTTTAAACTGTCAATACGAATGAACAACTAAATCAACAGACGTGCTGCTGGCGCCGACTATGCACTCATGGACATGTCTCAACATGCAGTAACATGCAGCCTCCTGCGTCCGTTTGTTAAGTCATTTTGCAAAACTGTTATAGTACCCTTTGTACTTTATATACTTAGCGAGCTTGAATATTGAATATTTTTGCTTCTTCTTATAAATGGGTCAAGATGGTTAGGTCGATACCTACGCTACTTTGCCCGTGGGGTATCGGTATTGTGGAACAATCTACATGAGGTGGCTTTTCCCAGTTCTACTAACCTTAGGAAGCTTAAAAATCGGATTAACAAAGTTTCTTTAAGCTCCTCATAGCAGCCGTGGTGCCCTAGCATTTAGGTTTCTGCCTGCGTGGCTGCTGTGGTGTAAATAATGTCAATCTGTGTACTAAGTACACCCTAGACCATTTCACGCCTACTCGCTATGAGCCACCTATGGAAGAATGACACAACGACCGTCATTCCGGCAACAGTATAGAACATACAGCTCAGGACATAGAATGTCCCATCTCTGAAGCAGATGTTACATAACATCAGAGACAAACCGCAGCAACTATAAATAAACACGAGATGGATGACAGCTAGTCCCAAGGTGACATTTTTCGGAAAAACCTATATAATATTATTGAAATTCGAGATAAAGTCACTAAAGTGACCTAACACGTGTGCTGAAACTTTTATTTCAGATAGAAGTGATGTATTTCGTATTTGGGTTTTCGGACAAAAAGTCAGCTTGGAACTAGCTGCCATTCACTTCATGTTCATTTGTACTGAGTGTGCGTGTTGTCTATACGTCATAACGCTTTAGCTTTATTTTTCTGGCTCTAATGTGATGTAACATCTGCTTCAGAGATGGCACTAGCGATGGCCATTTGCAGCTTTCATGGCTTAAATTGTAAATTCTATAATATAGGTCGTAGTGCACGTGGCGTGGACTAACAACTAGATAGTACACAAGTTGACACTATACCGACTTTTTATGATATCACATAATATCCCTGCGGTACAGACACATAACGCTACAGAGCGGTCAATTTTGATCGATCATCGGCAAATGTCAACTTTCCGAATTCATACGCAATAAAACAGACAATTTTCTGTTGTAGTAAAAAAAGTAATGTCTCTTTTACGTTTCCAGGTTCGGCGGTGGCGATGATCGGCGCGAACCTGCGTTTCGGCACGAGCGCAGCGAACGCCACCCCGAATGCGACGAAAGTCTTCGAATGTCATCCTGGAGGTGCTGCTGAAGCGGCACTGATATTCGCGCTGTCCGCCATGGGAATGGCTGCGAATTTGGCGCTGATGTCTGTCATACTGGCCAACAAACATCTCAGACGGTAGGTATCCTTAGAATACTGTATTACTATAATGATGCCAGTCACATATGCCGCGCACGATCGAGCAAAAGCTAACCACCATATTGATATAGCGCTGCCCAACTATCAATTATCACTCCTATTAGAGTTGCAAGAATGTTTATACAGTATTCCCTACACAGCATTGTATACTGTAACATTGGCAAAACCCTCTTAGAACAGCTATACAAGCGGAATGGGCACACCTAATAGGACACTTCAGTCATTCAAGAGATTGTATAAGGGCTGCAGGTAACAGTTATACAACAAAAGTGTAAGCCTCTTGCAACCGCTATAGGACATTTGCGTCAGTGCAAGATTCAGTTTTTGTCAACTATGTAACTATTCTGTTACGTGATTCTACCTTATTGCAACCAAACTATTTCTTATGTATTGTATAGACGAAGTGAAGAATATATAACTAACGCATTACAGTCATCTTGTTTACTTACATATCAGCCATTGAGAATTTCATACACATATATGATAAACTTCTACACTGTGATATAGGGCTATTGAATTACTTGCGCAGCAAATTTTATTGTGATCATCGTGCAAAGTAGTTACGCAATTTCTACGGGCTTCGTATTTGATTCATATTTTGATAACGATCAAGAGTATGTCTAGATTTTCAAGATGGAAAACTGAACTTATCTGCGTTAAATCTTCCACAAATCCTATATTTAGACACAATTACACTAATGTTTATCACTTTATATCTGTAATTTAGAACTGAAACATAATTATTTAATATTAAATAGAGAAATACATGTTTGCCCAATATGGCGGGTGGTTGTGTATAATCATGGCATCGTTTATTAGAATATTTTGGTGTTGCCTGCAGGTGTTATACAACAATTTGACAAATGTCTGAAATGAAATACCGACAGAGTCGAATGATTTACCCAGAATTTGTACCAGATCTATATCTTCTGTTTGAACAGTTGATAAAACCTTTTGAACCAATATACATGCGTTGTTTGTCTTAAAACATTGGATATGGCATTTTATCAAAAATATGACAGCAGAAAGATAGGTTATGGTGAAGTTGTATACCAACATATTTAGCATATGTACAGCCTTTGACAGTGATTAAACAACAGTTGTATAAGTGCTTCCGTTGGGAGCAATTTGTTGGCTAAAGTAGTAAATTTGCCCTATAAGGTGTTGTATAACTATGCTATAAGAATATTTTAAACACCTCATTTTAGAGCAAATATGTTGCAGAAAGCAAATTTAAATTCCACACAACATTAAGCCAGCATTTTGGTGTTCAGGCAACAACAATAGAGAGCTTTTATGGCTGAACGGTTCTTTTACCAAGAGCTTATAACACTACTTTGCTAGTTGGGTGGCAGGATGTCCACAGCCCAGAGCCCTCGAAAAAATGAGAAAAACTAGTAAGTTCGAAGGGAAAATAAGTGAAAAAATGACATCGAGTAGAACGGCCTTCCAGTTCCTACGCAACGCCGTCTTCAGGTCATAAAGGATTAAGTTCAGAACAAGTTAAGCACTATGAGAAAAAAATTAGTTGCAAACAATCAAACAGGCCCATAGAATTAGTCCATAGACATTGTTTCCCTAACATACCGGTAATTCCCGTCGAGCTGGCAACGTTGCCCCTTCCCATATCTGCGCGACAGGAAAAGACGTGTATCGAAAACATTCTCTATCATTATAAGTTTAAAAGGTAAATGTACTGAGACATCTATGACGGGAGAAATAAGGCTAATAATACATCAGGCAATTGAGATATACCCCACCCCTCACCACCCCTATATTTTTTTTCTGAAAAGGATACTGAAAGTCAAAAAACACATTTTGAGTGATTTCATTTTTTCGTGTTTTCACCCCTAGATCTGCCGCCACTGACCCGATTTTAAAGTTTTTTCATCCTTGGCATAGTAGTAACCTTTTGTCAGAATTTCATCACAATCCGAGCAGTACTTCTCAAGTTATAGGCAATTATAAAACTAGGGGACAGACCGACAACCAAAAAAAAGCAATATCTTATTTTCGAATTTTTTCGCGATTACAATACTTCCTCGTCTGGTTGCGTAGAAAGTAAAATGAGTATTTTAAAAGAAAAAATGAGTAGTTTGGAAGCTTTTCTCTGGCCATTTCATTAATATGAACGAAAAGGCTGCGTTGCTGACAATTAAAAATTAAACAGAGTTTCTGAGAGTAAGTACCAGATATTGAAAAGTTAAAATGAGGGGAGAGGAAAGGGGCGGTGCTTACACCTCCCACAATACACCAAACATCAATTGTTCTTGGATTTATTGGAACACTGTTTGGACCTGAGCATCTATGTGTGGTCATTGTATTGTGAAATATCCCAAAAAATGTTTCAGAAAAAAGCGAGTAAAAATGAGTATCCGAAAAAATGATCAGTAAAAATGAGCCCGTGGACCCCTGAGCATTAGTCACACTGATCATGTGACAGTTAGGCTGACTTGGTCCCTTTTTGATGATCTCGAACACCAGTAATACAAATGACAGCCCGACCACTCACCTTGACATCTTACCTATGAGAACTACCAATGAAAGTCGCATGTTCGACCAGCTTGCTTCAAATTCCATTCCATTCCATCATGCCAAATATCAGTTCCATGCACTTGCCTAGGAAGTTGAAAGATCTTTCATCCTTTCCCTGGCATGTGGAGTAGATAGTACAGTATCTCCTTATTCCCATAATGATTCAGGGATTAACTACTTTTTTCAATAAACTAGGCGTTCGAACCTTTATTGGGCCTGCTACAAACTTGTTGGCCTACTTGTAGTTATCCTTGCTTAACGATAGTTCCACCAGTTCCTCCTGTGTCCAGTTGTCCCAGACGGTATTAACCTGGTACCTGCATCGATTCGGGGCGAGCCAAATAATTGATCTCTCATTCATTAAAGAAAACAGGCAGCCACAACAGTTAGTCCTTCGCGAGTGTTAGACGTTGAAGGTATCTGCTGCACTCCTGGACCAGATCTGATCTTGTCTTTGGAGATGCTATCGTTATCAAAGCCGCTTGGTTACTTAATCACCTATAAATGATACTTCCTGTACTTTGTTGTACATGCTGCCTATATATTTCTACCAGGAAGGCCTCCTGTATGTCCCTAAGGCAAAATAATTTGTTTCTTGCCCTACAGATGTATTCCTGCCCCATTTAACCTCGTCATGTCGTGAATCTCGTCACCTACCTAAGCGTTTTTGGTGGGTAGTTACTATTCTGATTGAGGATATCAGGTACATCTGTTGACCTCCACTGCTTTCCGTGAAACCTACGTACGCTGTACCCTCGATTACCTGTCCAACGACGGCAAACAGCAAATGTAGATTTAATTTTAGAAAATGGTGAATGTGGTTAAAACGTCTCGTTTAAAAATGGTGGATGCGCCTACTAATAGATGGCGGGTACATTTTAACTAGGGGTCCGGCCGAATGTCAATTTTTAGATGGAAGCCCGAGCCGTCGTTTGACTTTTGCAACAACGATAGATAATTAATAAAAATTGTGGATTGTATTACAATAAAGTGGTTGAATAACGAACGTTCGTGCCATTTTCTCAGTTTTAGCCTTGGATTTAATGCAATATTGAATCAAACCTGTCCAAATTATATAAAAAGTGATGATAACTCATCCCTAACGGAAATAGTAGCGGATAAAAAGTTAGTCAAATTGTATCAGTATTTTAAATAAACCTGTACAAGTATATGAGGAAGCGACATATAAAAAGTTGTGCAATTCAAAGCATTTTCGGATCAAAACAACGCTAAACGTAGCTAATGCAATCCTCATTGGCTATGTTGAATTTAATGTATAAACAACTTTATTTGAAACAGTAATTAGAAAACAGCTACACATTTACAAAGCTTCTCATGGAATACCTGATTCCTTGAAATATTTTAAAAATTATACGTTGTAATAAGGTCAATTTTCAACACAAACTGACTATTCGAATCGTTTAGTTAAATAGATAATGTTGACTCTCAGAAATGAATTTTCAATGAACACGAATAGCTGTGCAATGCCAAAACATAGTAAATAGGATGCCAACGCCAGTGGCCAATTTTTAGGTGAACTATTACTTGGTAGTGATGAACGCAGCTAGAGCTTTCGTAAGGAAAAATTCAAAAACAGAGGGTTCTAAGTCGAAAATACCAATTCCAGCTACGCACCTAGATATATACTAAGTGACATATAAATCCGAACACCCAGTTTAAATGGTTTTATTTTAATAAAATTTTGTATAAGTACTTAATGAAGCATAATAAGTAAACGATAAAAATTTTAAATGATTGCACTGCTTTAAAGCCCTTTGACCTTTAATAATGTGTGGATGCACCCTGATGTGCTACGCATTCTCCAACGCGCCTAGGCATGCTTCTGAACAGGTGGTCAATGTCCTCCTGTGGTATCTCATTCCAGGCGACCACCAACTCCTCTCGAAATGCTTGTAGAGTCTGAGGAGGACGTTGCAAATTGAGCAATCTCCTACCCATCATATCCCACACGTGCGCAATTGGGGATAACTCGGGAGATCTTGGTGGCCATGGTAAAAATATGACATCATTATGTTGAAAGAAGTCTATTGTGACTCTTGCCACATGTGGTCGGGCATTATCTTGTTGGAAAGTTGGATCTGCCAGGGTGTCAAGATAGGGTAAAAGATGGGGTTCTAGAACTTCGTGGATATAACGCTGCGCGATTAAAGGTGACCCGGAACCATAAGCTATAGCACCCCAAACCATAACTCCAACAGTGTGATGAATATGTCCTTCAACAAAAAACTGTGGATTCCTCCTTTCACCACGTCGCCTTCTAACCCTGGCACGACCATCGTGCATGCCTAAACAAAATCGAGACTCGTCACTGAAGACGATACTGTTCCATTCCTGATCCCAGAGTGACCGTTGTCTGCACCACTCAAGGCGATTACGTCGGTGTTCTCGAGTTAAAGGGAGGACCCAGTGTGGCCGGTATGAAAACAA